CAATGTCATCAATGTACAAGCATGCAAATTGTTTTCTTGAAACCAGACCAATTTTTCTTAAGCTGCGGGTCATGACCACCCGTAGGGTCTGCAAAAATTTAATTCAGATGCAGGAATTTAAAGAAACTTCAGTTGCAATTCCCTTCATTACCTTTAATATAATAAATAACATTCTATACAGCACAATTATAAAATCGTAATACTGGCCACGTTGAGCTGTAAATTATATTTACAAACTGAAAAATATCATTAAACATATCAACAATAGCGGTGTTCCATTGTAGTTTCAGCATGAGTTATTTCAGAATTGTAAATGTTTAAGAAATTGCAAAAATTATTGTAGATTACTTTAAACACACAGGGAATATCGAATTGATTTCAAAAAGTTATCTTGGAATCAGAAACTATTTTTGATTGACATGCCACTTAAAGTGCAAGAGAAACTGACTGAGCCATCGAGTGACTGAAAACGAGTGCCCACAAAAATCCTCGATTGAATTCTGGATCGAAACTAGACCTGAATTTCCCACAATTTCTGACGCAGCATTAAATTTTCTTCTGCTATTCACCACCACAGTGTGCAAAACGATTTTTTTTTTTTTTTTTTTTTCAGTTTTAAGCCTTTTTAAATTAAAATTTTATTCAACTCGATATATAGATGATATTTTACATCCACCAGTGTCTAACTTTGCACCAAGATTCAATTTGTTATGAGGCACAAAACAAACACATCTATTTCATTAAAATACGATTTCCTTTAATTTTTTTACACCTGAAACAAATACTCAAACTATTTCTTTTCATATGTGTATGATTACCAAAATAAATTATTTATGGGAAAATATTTGTAGCTTTACATTTAATAACTGGGGTCGCAAAAAAAATATCAATTATAAAAAGGGTTCTTGAATGAAAAGGTTTAAGAAACAAAGCCTTTTACTGGAGAAAATATGTACGAAACTAAAGGAATTTTGGCTTGAAAATTATAATGTAGGTAACAAAGTATGAGAATTTGTCATGAAATAATATCCTTTTACAGTCTTCCCATTCATTTATTGTTCGGATCCCACACACTTCGGATGAAGCATATGATCTCAAAATAGTATCTATTTGGTCCTCTTATGCTTTCACAATATCAGCAGCCAACAGTTTCATCTATATTTCACAAAAATCTGCAATGAAACTGTCAACCTTAGAGCAACAGCAATACATTTTAACAGCAGCAAATGTTTTCTTCTTTATTTATCTCTTCAACTACTCTTTCACCAATTCTATTAGCTTAATGACTTTTAAATAACATGGATGATTTTTTACAACTGATTCCAAATGCTAAATCAGATTGATTCATCTTATAATTTTAGATTAATTTATTTTTGACTTACTAGACTTATATTCTTTTTTTTGTTATAGCTGCTTGCTTATGCAGAGTAGTTTTGCTTAGTCCCTCTACTTATGATATTAATACATTCAGTATTACAAAGAGTATTAGAAAAAACTAGGTTATTATAAATATTCCACTTTTTTTAATAATAATTTTCCTTTCTATTTTAAATCATTTGCGTATTTTATCAAGCAGGTTTTCGTCTAGTTAGCACCTTTTATAGGATGTATAACTTGGTGAACTCAGTACAGGATAGATACAAGTGGTAAAGAATGGAATATTACACTTGCAACAGAACTGGAAGTGTAATATTCACAATTGTAATGGAATATTACACTTCCAGTTCTGTTCCAGTTCTGTTATTTCATTACACTTGTGAATATTACACTTCCAGTTCTGTTGCAAGTGTAATATTCCATTCTTTACCACTTGTATCTATCCTGTACTGAGTTCATAATGGAATATTACACTTGTGAAAGAGCTATTACCAGTTAAAGTCTCCGTCCTTCGGAGTTAATCTGATAATGATGTTTCTCATTCTAGCCTAACGTATACAGAAGGACTATCTTCCTCAAGAGTTATTTCTCCCTCCTGTTTTAGTTTCTACTAAAGTGAAGCTAAATTATCTGATAAATGACATGGTACTTTCATAACTATCACCTCAGAAAGCAGGTCTATCTGCTGAACGACTGTTATCACAAGTATATTTTTTCTAGTGCTTATTCGGCAAACTTTAGTACTAAAAATTATTGCAGTTGATACTTCTTCCATAACCTATTTAAGTTCTTTCTGTTTGTAAAAACTGCAACTGTGTTCCTACTACTATTAAAAACAAGATCTGACTGCTTGATTATGGCAAAGTACACTATGACATTTCTGCCTAAAAAGACAGATGTCTTTGCACAGGACTTTTTTTTACTGGAAACTGACTTATATTCACATTACACACTTTTAGACATTAACAAATATCAATAAATTTTGTTCAAGCTTCCCTTTTTTTAACAAAAATAGTACCCTAAAAGTATTTATTTCTCAAGCAAGTTAAGGGAAACTGTGATAAGAGAGTCATCTACAGCTAGACTTAGAAAATTACAAAAGTTAGAAAAAGACAGTATGAGTAACTTTAATTCACTCACTTATGTAGTTTAATATTAAAATTCAATATACATTATAAATAAAAACATTACCTCACCTTAGAGAAACCTCACATAAATAAGTAGAAAGTAAAGAAATTATTTTTTTCCATTATTAGAATTAATTAACGATAAAGTATTACTTTCAACATATATTTTATATTATTTAAAATACATACAACTTTTATTTTGATAAAAATCAAAGATAATTTAATTTGCATTATTAATTAATACAATATTTTAAATACTTTTATTTTATTTATAATGTATTGAGTGCAAATAAAACTTTGCATTTGGGAAAAAAATTTAGAAAATAAATGTTCTCCATGCATTACTCTATCACAAAACTTATTAATTACAACTAATCAAATGTTTAAAATACAGACACTGGATGCCACTTATTTTGTTTACACACAATAAAGATTTTGAAAAATCAAGCTGAATGGTAAAAATGCCATTAACTGCTTATTGTTTTCTCCTTAATTTCAACTAGTCGTACCCAATTTTTGTCCATGGCAGAGGAAAAAAAAATATTTTCTGCTAGCAGTCAGCCAACCCTGATCAAAAAATTAATCTCAATTAAATAAAAAATGGCAATAAAAAGTATAAGCTTCCACTCTTCTATCCAACACTAAAATAATGATAATTTAGCTTTGAAAAATAGTTATTTTAACCACTTCCCAGACATTTGGAATTTCCAGCAGTTTTACTTTTCATAACACCTTAGAAATAATGAAAATATTAAACTAATAAGCTGAAACACTGGATCATAACATTTAAGTAAGCCTTACCTAGCATAATCTATGATCATTACGAACAAAAATGTTACACAGTAAGACCCCGCTTAACGTGGGGATACGTTCCATCAAAGTAGAGCGTAATGCGAAACAACACTAAACGAGGCTATCTTAACATGTAAATAATGGGGTTAGGGGAAGATGGATAGAAAATTGGTTAGGTATTAAATTTAATATTTTTTTAATAAAAATAAAACCAAACATTTATTTTTTTTTACAAAAATAAAAACAACATAAACGGATATACTTATAAAAACAAAATTCTAAGTCAGTCAGATCATTCAGTCTATCTGTGTTCTAATTCTGCCTTTGTCAAGAAGGCATTATGATAGATTGGCTTATGGCATATGCATTCAATTTTCATAGTCAATCATAAGACAGTCGTTTTCCATTTCCTCTCTAATGTTATTTCTAGAACGGGTAATTCTAGTTGCAGAGCTTGACGTAGTTGTATCTGCCGAGACAGTATTTTATTCTTAAGAATTGTCCGTTTTGTTGAAGTTGCCAAATTCCATGCAGCACTAATTGAATTGACGTTCACCAGAATCTAATCACTGCTTTTGTTTCCAGTAAAATGCTTTTTCTGGTTGCTTTCTTTCTTGTTTTTTATTATCACCCATGATAAAAACTAAAGATCATAATATTTGTCACCGTATTAATCGTTATAGTATTATATAAATTTTTACTTACAATAATGTCAACAAATGTTTCAAATGATAAAAATGCATCTGCACAGCACCAAACAAGAAACACAACTACACTGTTTCGGATATGTTATTTGGAAACTTAGCGCTGCACACAATTTTGGGGAATCCCTGTAGTGCTGGGAGCAATTTCAGGGAATCCCCGAGTTGAAATAAAAGAGCGCTAAACCGAAACAGCATGAAACGGGGTCTTACTGTACATCTAAACTGCAAGACTGGTACAAAAACACAGAATAGTATATATATATATATATCAAAAACATTATTACATGGTACTTTCAAAAACAGAAAACAATGCTGAAAAAAGCGATGCGAAAGTTTATTTTAATATACTAATGTGATCGCAATTTAATATACATTTTCGCAAATTTTGCTCCTGATGAAGTTGGACCTGTAGCTGTTTGCCCTCAAATGGATAGTCTTGATTAAAATATATGCCAAACACAAAGCTCCTGCTTCGCCAAATTTTGCTTTATTTTGCCGTGTTCTCTCTTGATACAGATGGGAATTTATGAAACTTATAACATTAAATCAAAAACTATATATGCTCATTCGGGAGAAAAGGTTTCAAAAATCCGATTTCAATATTCATACAAATACCATCAAAAACCTAGGATAATCAAATATATTACTAGAGTATTTTCAAAACCGACTAATACCACAGAATCAATGCACAAGAACATTTTAATATGAATTACAAAAATTTATTATAACATTAAGTTAAAAAATAAAATGGTCACTAAATAACGAAAGCTTCAAAAATATCAATTTTATTGCTTGTGCACTGAAAAGGCAGAAAACGAGAGCATAAACAGAATGTTTAAAATGCAAATACTTCTGGGCTGAATTTTAAAATAAAACAGTGTTAATTCATTTTGAAATACATATTCAATGATAAGTCAACAATATTTACAAATCCTTAAATACCACAAGATAATTACATGGTACTACAGAAATTTTAAGTAACATTTCAAAGAATTTGTCATCACATTAATTGTCAAGTATATAATTTTCAAAACCTACAGGAAGTTTTTATAACAATTACAATTTTAACTGTGGAAGTCAAAGCATTTCACCATATTATAAAATACATTTCATAATGAACCATATTTTTTTAATGTCTCTTCACAGTTTCTCAAAAAACGTTTAATGAATACAAAGCATGAGACACACTGTGCCCATGCAGAAGACATGAAATGGACAAATGTATTTCCAATGCCTTTCAGTATATGTATGTGTATGTGTGTGTGTGTGTGTGTGTGTGTGTGTGTGTATATATATATATATATATATATATATATCTTACACTCAATTTTCAAGAGGAAGAAGTTCCTTTTTTCTCACTGAAAAAGTTTCTCAAAATAATTACTTGACCAACTCCTATGAAAATGATAAAAAATGTTTCTAACAGAGACCAATACATCACATGGACATTTAAATCTTCAGCTCGTTTGCGACCTTGGGCTTCCATTAAACGATGATGTGTCTGGTAATCGATAATAGTATTCAAATGCTCGTGCACATTAGAAGAGGAAGTTTCCAGCTATAAGAAAGAAAGCATGCTTGAATACACTTGATACAACTAAATAAGATATTCACTAACACAAATATTTATGTATAATTTATTACCTTTGTCATGGCAGTCAAATGTTCCCCTACTCCAGGAAGAGGCTTTTCTTCCCCTACTAAAAAGTCCACATACACTAGCTTATGACTAAATGTTGAAAATTCATTGCTAAAGCACAGTCTATACACCCCAGTTTGTTCAGCAGTCCAAGAATGGCTGTCAGACTGCTTCTTTATACCTCGATACAACACCTGACCACTAGGAGCTTCAAGCATAGCATCTACATCATAATGTCCTCCAGTAACCACCTAAAATAAAACTAACTATTAGAATCTGAAATGTTTAAAATATTACACACACCACAAAAAAAAAAAAAAAAAAAAATCAGTGTAGTAGTTCTACCCTATATTCTAATCTGGGATTTGATCTACACTAAGAAAACTACATAAGAAAAATTAACACAATTCACAATTTAATAAAATACATGGAAAATATTTCTTAAAGGCTTGTTTACAATTTAAAAGTTAATACCAACTTGGAAGAATTTTAAAACTCTGATAATTTACTTCAGACTAAATAATACAGAATTCACTTTAACTATAATGAATTATAATAAAACACTTTACTGATAACACAAGTGATGTAAAATTTCTAGGCCTCAAATAATTTGAAAAAAGTAACTTATGAAATGTTAAAGAATATTAAAACCAGACAATTTAAACACTATTAACAAGTAAAATCCTTTCCCTGAATACATACCTGCTCTTTAATCAGCAAGATAATTTGGAACTTGTAGAAGTAAATTCATACCTTTAATACATTTTAACTTTTCAAGAACCTTAAAATAGAAAAATATGATTTGCATGTTTTCCTTCACTGAATTATATGAAACACCAGCAAGGAAAGCAGCACAAGTCTGAATTTTCATTTCGTACCGGTATGAAAATTACACTAGTTAGGACATAGAAATCATTAACATAATTGCCTTTTAATGATTACTTGCTATGAAGCATACCACAATTTATCAATACACTAATACTATAAAAGTTAAGGCTCAGTTTACAAAATATAGGCTTGAGGCAAAAATCCTTATGAAGACCCCTTCCCCTTTACTTCGTTTCTGTGCAATATATATTGAAGTGAATCACAAAGTATTTTGTGAAATAATCTAATAATTTACCATATTTTTAACTGAAACAAACAAACAAAAAAGGCCCACTTTACCTTCTACATTTTATTTTTACGGTTTTAGTTTATTGTATGTTGGATAAAATATAAACTTATACATTTTACTACAGTTCTGTTCTTTTACCGCAGAAAAATAAGGAAGGAGAAGGATTCTTGCTGATTTTATTACAAACTTTAAATTACAGAGAATATCAAAATACTGAAATTAAACTATTTATCAGTTAAATAATCAAACATTATCACACCTATGAAAATGAAAGACCCTTACACTTATGTAAAAACATAAGCTTCATATACAATGGTTACACAATAGTACAGATCGGTAGTATAATTTTCTTTAATTTCATCACAAACCAGGGCTTTGCTAAATGATATCAGACACTAATGAGACCAATAAATGGTGCAGTGTCTTGACTCTTGACCAGAAACCAAACCCAAAATTTAAAATTTTATTCCTTCTTCCAGTTCTGTATTTTTAAAACCTAAAATTAAAAAGGGGGAAAACAATATTTTAAATATTATAGAATTTGGAAGCCCTCCTGAAAGGGGAGGCTCAGGACTAATGACCTATTTGTCCTTGTTTAAACCACGGCACAGTTACAATAGACTTTCATCAATACAATCCTTGATGCAAAAAGTACAGATGCAAATGGCATGGAATGGAAGAATTTCATTCATTGGTCATACCAGTGTAGTTCTGCTGCACTAATTATCAAGATCTCTTTAATTTTGACAGAGAACACTCCTGAGGGTTTCCAACTCCTTTCCTCTTACCAACAATCACAAGTTTTACAGTAATAGATAAAACACAATCTGTGGAATCCTTCCAAAGAGACTAACTTGCTGCATATTACATTCTCTGTCTTTCAGAAAAGAGAATTAGGTACATTCTCTTCCTCTATCAGTAATAGGAATACTGATGTATTGGGCCAAGCAGCAGAGATTAAGAGCCATTTCTCATAGGTTCACTGCTAAACTTTTACACCAGCAAAGACTGCTCAATTAGAAGAAAACTGCAAAACACTTAAAGAATCCACCTCTCTTTGTCATTTGCTATCAAATAGTATGTGTGTACAGCCTAAACTTATTTATTACTTCTTTGTACAGTCTTCTCATATAATACGCTTTGGAAAGTCAACTGTATATGATATAAGAAAACAAAAAACAAAACTTTTTGAATTTTTTTTTTTTTTTTTTTTTTTTTTTTTTTTTTTGTGGATTCTGACACCCCACTCACAATGAATAACAGAAAAATTATTCATTGTGCTAAAAGTGAAGATCATGACAAAGTGACGACTGAATGGGTCAGACAGCACCGCACAGAAGGCATGCCATTGACGGGTCAAATGCTAATGGCTCAAGCTAAAATATTTCACTAATGAAAATGAAAGAAATGAAATTAAAAATGGAGTGCACATATTCGACAGGTTGGTTAATAAAATTTAAAAATCACCAAAGTATAAGGCAGTTAAGAATTTCAGGTGAACTGAAGCTGCTGAACTATTTGCAGATGAATTCATTAAACTTATTAATAGTTAACAGTTATCTCCAAACCAAATTTACAATGCTGATGAAACTGGTCTTTTCTGGCAATATGTACTGCAAAATACATTAGCAACCTCTACAGAAAGGCTCCAAACTTGTGCCAAAGATTTCAAAGTGAGACTCACAATATTAGCATATGCAAATGCTGCAGGAACAAAAAATACACGACCTTGGGCATTTTAAAGAGCAAAGAGTTTCCCATTATATATCATGCAAATAAAAGTGTATGGATGACACAAGTGTTAATGAATAGTTGGTTTGAAAATCATTTCATACCCAAGGCTCAGCAGAATTTGGTTGGTTTACCTAGGGCTATGTGATATTCACGCAGGCTTCGGTTGGTTTACCTGATGATGCAAAAATTGTCTTCACAATTCTTCGGCTCATACTTGAGATTTTAGTGAAAGAAAATATATCTGCATTATTCTTTCCTCCAAACAGCACATTCATCATTCAGCCTATTGACACTGGAATAGTGTGCGTGCTGAAAATGCAAATATAAAGTAGAATTTTTAAAATCCATGTTAAATTTCTTGAATAATGGCAAGACTATTCAAGCCTTGTGGAGCATCGCAAGATCGTGGAAGGATGTGTCTCCAGATACTTTAAAAACGCTTGGCATAAGTTACAGCCAAAACTAGCATATTTCATGGTGAGGATGATGATGGCCACGAATGTGAAGATTTCCAGTTGTCGCAAACCAAAGATTAAACTTTCCAACTAATGGATCTTTTAAAGAAACGTGGAGATGTGGCAATAAATGAAGATGATATAACAGAAGTTTTTCATTGCGATGACAATGCCCCAATTATCAATAAATTAACACAGGGTTTCTTTGTGGGTCATGACCCCATTGGGCTTGTCGGACCTGCAACATAGGTCGCCAAAAATTTTAGCAGTTTTGATATTTCTTTAACTTATAATAATTTTACAATTACCAAATATTTTTACACAATGTATCTAAAAGAAAATAGATAAAGATAAGATAATACAGACAAAGAAACAAATGAAAATGTTTCGACGCATTCTTTTTATAATACAAACATTCATTGCTTTGCACATGACGCTGTCATTTCATCTGTTACTTATTTAAAATTTTCTCATTGTCCTATGTCTTAAAATTAGAAATTAAAGTTAATGACCTAAAACTGCAATAGTATATTAAAGTACAAGTGAAAAAAATTGAGTTTCACTCACGCGTGTGTCGGATTTGCACAATACTTATGGGGCCCCACAAATTTTTTAAAATATTATGGGGTCCTGGGGGTCACGAAAAAAATCTCAGTGATAAAAAGGGGTCACTAATGAGGAAAGTTTAAGAAACCCTGAATTAATAGATGGCAAAATCTGTACTATCCAGATCCAGAAAATACCACTACTGATAGTTAAGAAAATGACAAAGAAATTATTGAAAATGAAAAATTTTCGAATGGCAAGTTAGTCTGAATTCTCAACACAGCAATTAGGACTTGAACAATGGAACTTTGTAACTGAATAAGAAATTATGGCTGTCCTCAGAATTAAAGAGAAAATATTAGCATAAAAAAGCAACTTAAATAACTTACATTGAAAAAAATGTTTAATAAAATAAACAAATAAATATTAAGCTTTTTTGGGGGCAAATTTTATTACCCTTTAGATCACATATGCTTCATTATTTTATAAGTCATGATTTCATATTTTTATTTTCTAAATGCCATCTTACTAGATTTAAACGAATGATCTAATATTTGGAAAAATCCCAAATCTGGAATTGCCGAAATCCCGATCTTGGACTTTGTATTGTAATTATTTAAGTAGTTCTTTGTATCCACTGCAGTATTCTATTAAGTATTTTTCTATCAGGCTGAGACTGGCAATTGGTAAGATCTGCCTGACAATGGAAATTAAATTCGGAAATACTCATAAGTTTCACAACAATCTCCTTTTCAATACCTTTTTTTTTTTTTTTTTTTTTTTTTTTTCTGGCAGAGCTCACAAAAGGTGGTTGTACAGTTCAATATCATTACACGTAACATTTTTCTATTTGGTTAAAAGTTCTTTCAACATTCTGTCACAATGTCCGTATCCAGTGTTCAAACGAGTTTTCATGAAGTATGGGAAATAACTCAGCATCCTTGACATAATAATATGTATAGTACTAACGCTTCCTTTGACAAGATAAATGAATGTACTTTTGTTTCCTTAGTGATTCAGTGCCAGTAGTCCTGTGGTTCCTTCTTAGCAGTCATTTCATTTTTTTTTACGCCATTTATTAACTTCTCATAAGTAGTTTGGTTCTTTGAAACAAATCGAAAACGCATTTCATACTTTTCTGGTTTGTCAATTGGCATTCTATATAGATCAATCTGTTAGTTTTTCTTAATTTAGAAATACTTTTAGAAGTAAAAAAAATAATAAAAATAACATATACAGGATAAATAATATAACCAGATTCTTTTACTTTACATGGAAATTATACTTCACAAATACTTCTCAACATAAGATCTATTCATTACACTACAGGCACATTTACAACTGCTTCCTCAGCAAGACACATATTAACAATTTTAACCAGTTTTAAAAAAATGATCAA